ACAGGAAGTGGTGGTGGCTACAAGCATGGACGGCTTCAAAAGGGAATTAGATAAGCATATGGAGCAGAGGTCCCTCAGTGGCTATTAGCCACAAGGTATAGATAGGGACTCTGGGGCAAGTGATGCTCTGTCATCTTGGTGCTTGGGGGGGTCAACAGTGGGAGGGCTTCTAATGTCCTGGCCCCACTGATGGACCTCCTGATGGCACCTGGTATTTCCGGCCACTGTGTGACAGAGTGTTGGACTGGAGGGGCCTTTGGCCTGATCCAACATTGGCATCTCTTATGTTCTTATGTTAAGCCGCCCATGCTTGTAGCCGTCACCCCCTCCTGTGTCAGTGAATTCCATGTGCTAATCACTCTTTGGGTGAAGGGGACATGATTGCAGTCTTCAAATATCCGAAGGGCTGTCATGTAGAAGATGGAGCAGATCTATTCTCTCTTGCTCCGGATTGCAAGATTAGGTCTAATGGGTGGAAATGACAAGGGAGTCGATACCGGCTAAATATCAGGAGAAACTTCCTGACTGTAAGTGGTTGAGCAGTGGAGCGGACTGCCTCGGGAGGTGGTGGAGGCTCCTTTGCTGGACGTTTTCAAGCGGAGGCTGGACGACCATCTTTTGGGTATGTTGTAGGGCTCTCTTTCGGCCCTGCTCCTGCAGAGTGTCAGGGGGTTGGACTAGATGAACTGCAAGGTCCCTTCCAACTCTAACATTCTATGATTCTAAGTACTTCCTTTTATCTGTTCTGACCCGACTGCTCAGCAGTTTCATGGAGTGCCCACGAGTCCTTGTAATGTGAGAAAGGGAGAAAAGTCCTTCTTTCTCTACCTGCTCTATCCCATGCGTAATCTTGTAAACCTCAATCATGTCACCCCTCAGCTGTCGTTTCTCCAAGCTAAAGCGCCCCAAGCGCTTTAAACTTTCTTCATAGGGAAAGTGTTCCAACCCTTTTATCATTCTAATTGCCCTTTTCTGTGTCTGGGCAACGCTCCTTTAAAAGCTGGAATGCCAAACAAAAATGGCCAAAGAGCAGGAAGACAAAAGTTATGTGTGGTGTAAAGAACGGAGAGACCTTTAGGTTCCTCTAACAAAATACTAGTCCTCGGGGGCGGGGGGCACATGAAACTGATGCACAGCAGAGTTAGAATGGACAAATAGAACGCTCCCTCCACAATACACACCATTAACTTGTGGAACTCACTGCCACAGGACGTAGCGATGGCCGCTAGCTTAGATGGCTTTTAAAAAAAGGAACCATTTTATATGTATGTTGTGGATGTGCTTGAGACCATGGGTCATATGAGCTGAAATAAACTAACTAACTAAAAAAAGGGGACGAAGCTCATTCACACAGGAGAGGTCCATCAAATGGCCATCGGTCACAATGGCTAAACCAAACCTCCATGTTCAGAGGCAGTCCATCTTTGCACTCTGGCTGCTGGGGCGGGGAAGGGTGACTGCCTTCACATCCAGACCATGGGCTTCCAAAGGCCGCTGTCGGCAGGGCTTTTTTAGTAGAAAAAGACCAGCAGGAACTCTTTAGCATAATAGGCCACACCCAACAGCAGAAACTCATTAGCATATTAGGCCACACCCCCATGTTACCAGAAGTGTGGCCATCCAGCCACACCCACCTTTTGCTTCTTATTCTGTTTACCTTGTTTGTTGTCAAAACCCTGGGCTGTAGCAGGAACTCCTTTGCATGTTAGGCCACACACCCCTAATGTAGCCAATCCTAATGAGTCTATGCTGTTGGGTGTGGCCTATTATGCTAATGAGTTCCTGCTGGGCGTGGCCAACTCGGGAGTCAGCCGGAACTCCGTTCCTGTGCGTTCCTGCCCAAAAATAGCCCTGGCTGTCGGGAACAGAAAGCTGGATCGGAGGGCCCCTGGTCTGCTCCGGCAGGGATCCTCTTATGTCCAGGGACATGCTCGCGAGCCACCCGTGGACTCAACACCCATCTCCCATAGATGGGCACAACGACAGCCGACAGCCGTCCGTTCAGCTGCCGCCGCCCCCCCCCCCGATCATTCTGCCCGCTGATCACGACAACCCACCTTTCTCAATGTCCTTATAGAGCTGGTCTATGAAGGCGTCTAACTGCTCTCGCTCCTGGGGGGGGAGCTCTAAGGCATCGCAGGCGTGGACCCATTGGCTTAAGGAGCTGGGCGGGGGAGCACAAAAGGGAGAAGACGGGTCACAGATCCGATAATACAGAGCATCCAAAGGACTTCATGTGCAAGAACCCGAAAAGGTACACAGCTTTTACTGGCACAGTGGTCTTCCGCCAATCCTGCCAGGAGCTCGGGGGAGCTGAGACGAGTTCTTCTCTCCCCTAGTATATCCTCACAATGACTCCATGACGGGGTTCCCCGATGTGGTGCCCGCGAGTGCCCGCAGACACCTTTCTTTGTGCCCACAAAGGAGGAGGAGGAGGAGGAGGAGGAGAAGAGTTGGTTTTTATACCCCACCCTTCACTACCCAGAGGAGTCTCAGACTGGCTTGCAGTCTTCTTCCCTTCCTCTCCCTGTAACAGGTACCCAGTGAGGTAGGTGAGGCTGAGAGAGCTCTTTTGAGGACTGCTCCTGAGAGAACAGCTGAGAGAACTTGTGACTGACCCAAGGCCATCCAGCTGGCTGCACACAGAGGACTGGGGAAATCAAGCCCGGTTCTCCCAGATTAGAGTCTGCCACTCTCTAACCACTAACACCACAGCTGACTCTCTCCAAAAGTACTTTTTGAGAGTGGGTGGGGGGGCCGTGGGCTTCTGCACGTCAAGGCTTCCGACGGGCCAGATATTTAAGAAACGTTGGTTAGGCAGCAGCGGCCACCAGAACACAAGCACCTCCGCTGTGTGTCTGAAGGGAAGCGGCACCTACCCTGCTGGGCCAGAGTTTCACAGGTGCCCTGTGCTTTCAAGATTTCAAAATGCTGCAGACCCCCGCCCTCTGAGGCGGGTTAGGCTGAGGGAAAATGACTGGCTCCCGTTCGGCCAATGAGCTTCACAGCGCAGCAGAGATTCGAACCTGCTCCTCTGCACTTCTTGTCTCAGTACTCTAACCACTGTCCCCGCCTTTGTTTTTTTGCCCGGGGGGGGGGGGGGGGGGGGGGGTGATGCTGGGCTCAGTCGCCATGGCGTTCCAAAGGCCGCTCCAGCGACGCTCGAGGACGAAGCACAATTTTTATCTCACCGTTCAAAAACATAAAATCAAACCGACAAACCAGTCTAAGACCAAAGTAAGAGTCCCAATGCAAAAGAGTTGTTAATAAGAAGCCACTGGATTTGAACTGGCGACCTGCCATCTCCCGCTCTCTCTCTAGTTGCTGCAGTGTTCCCTCTAAGCTGAGTTAGCGTGAGCTAGCTCACAGGTTTTTAGCCTCGGGCTCACACATTTCTGTCTTAGCCCAGGAAGGATGGCTCCACAGACAACTAACTTAGGCAGCAGCCAAATCGCTCGCTCACAACTTTAGTGCCTGTCGCTCACAACGTAGAATTGTTGCTCACAAGACTCCACAGTTTAGAGGGAGCACTAAACATCAGTAAAGGACAAAATGCATATGGAGCTCTACTAGCAGTCTTGAATTGTGATTTTAAATGTTAACATTTTGCCTTCAGTGGGCTTTCAATGTGTGTTTTTACTGTATTTTTTCATACCTTGTAAGCCCTCTGGGGATACATAAGGAAGAAAGGCGGCTAACAAAATGTTTTAAAGACATAAGAAGAAGAAGAAGAGGAAGAGATTGGATTTATACCCCACCCTTCACTCCCCAAAGGTGTCTCAGAGCGGCTCACAAACTCCTTTTCCTTCCCCTCCCCACAACAGGCACCCTGTGAGGTCGGTGGGGCTGAGAGAGCTCTTGACAGAAACTGCTCTTTTTCAAGAACAGCTCTTATCAGAACTACGCCTTGTCCAAGGTCATCCCGCAGCTGCAAGTGGAGGAGTGGGGAATCAAACCCGGTTCTCCCAGATTAGAGTCCGTGCTCTTAACCACAACACCAAACAAGCTCTTTTAAGGAACAGAACAGAAACAACAAGCATATATGCAAACTGTCACAATAGTAAGGAACTAGAAAACTAATGCAGTTTGAGTTACATAATATGAAGAACTTCATAATAGAAGAAGAAGAGAAGAAGAGATTGGATTTATACCCCGCCCTTCACTACCCAAAGGAGTCTCAGAGCGGCTGACAAACTCCTTTCCCTCCCCCTCCCCACAACAGACACCCTGTGAGGTAAAAGAAGAAGAAGAGATTGGATTTATACCCCGCCCTTCACTACCCGAAGGTGTCTCAGAGCAGCTCACAAACTCCTTTCCCTTTCCCTCCCCACAACAGGCACCCTGTGAGGTCGGTGGGGCTGAGAGAGCTCGACAGAAACTGCTCTTTTTCAAGGACAGCTCTTGTCGGAACTATGGCTTGCCCAAGGTCTTCTTGCAGCTGCGAGTCGAGGAGTGGGGAATCCAACCCGGTTCTCCCAGATTAGAGTCCGCGCACTTAACCACTACACCACACTGGCTCTCATAAACAGAAACCTGGCGCCACTCACCTGGTCCCCATCCCTTGGCCGTTGGTGCCCACCAGGGCAAAGAGAGAGCGGAAGCCTTCAGGGGAAAACCACTGTCGGGAGAAGAAAAGCAAAGTCGCGCCCGTCAATCTTGCCTGCCCCGGGGCAGCCTTGCCACCGGGTGCCCACATCAATCCTCACTCGCTCACAAAGATCCATAAGGACGTAAGAGAAGCCATGTTGGAACAGGCCAATGGCCCATCCAGTCCAACACGCTGTGTCGCACAGTGGCCAAAACCCAGGGGGCCATCAGGAGGTCCAACAGTGGGGCCAGAACTCCAAAAGCCTTCCCACTGTTGCCCCCCCCCCAAGCACCAAGAAGACAGAGCATCACTTGCCCCAGACAGTGTTCCCTCTATACCTTGTGGCTAATGGCCACTGATGGACCTCTGATCCAGCTGAGTCCACTGTGGCACAACTCAAAAAGTTTTTCCTCATATCCAGCTGGTACCTTCCTGCCCTTCATTTAATCCCGTTCTTGCGAGTCCTCTCCTCTGCTGCCCACAGGAACAACTCCCTGCCCTCCTCCTCTAAGTGACAGCCCTTCAAATCCTTCAAGAGAGCCATCCTGTCCCCCCTCAACCTCCTCTTCTCCAGACTGAACATTCCCAAGTCCCTCGGCCTCTCCTCATAGGGCTCGATCTCATGAGACATCATGTCCCCTACAGCCACACAGCAACTGCGGTGAATGTCTTTTACCAAGTCTGAAGAGGTCCGATTCAGCTCAGGAATGTGGTGTGGGGGGGAGGGGTTCTTGCCTTCCCTCCGCCTCCGTCCCAAGCCAAATGGTACCTCTATAGACTTGGAAAAAAGACATTCGCCTTGCCGTTTCCCCATGCCGAAACAGCCCCTGGGGTAGGGGGAAGTTATTTGCCCCCATTTTGAAGCTGCGCGTGCACGCGATTCGCACAAAGAACCCGGACCCAACCTCTTAAAAAACGTTGTCTCTTTCGGCCCTTATTTCCTTTGCTCCAGAGATATCTTCCAAGCTGGGTTTAAAAGCCCGTACAGAGGATCGAGGATAGTACAGCGTCTTCAGAGGAAGCGAATCCCCCGGGGAGAGACTCTTAGCCACCAAGGGCAGAATTTTTACCACCTGCTCCGCTTCTTTCCTCTCCCCTGTGCTTTAGCCTATTGAGGACAGGTAGAGTCTGTTGGTTTTGACTGGGATTTCCCCACTTCGTATTGTAAGATGCTTTGAGCCTGCATCGACTGGAGAAATGCTGGCAAAAAGTCCCCCAACAAACAGATAAATATTTGAGCCTGTCACAGGTCAGGTGGGGTGTCCCCTGACGCTGCCACCACTCTGGATTTAGGATCCCTTGAGAAGGCCCAGAGCACCCTTCCAAGACCTTCAGACCTCCCTTTAGGCCGAATAACAGGCGTGAGGACCAGGCAGAGTACAACAAGGAAAAGGTTTATTTTATAGGAGGTCAAACAACAAGGTGCAGAATAACAGTAAGTGGGTGAAAAGAAATCAAATGCCCTTGCGCGTCTAAATACATACTGTCCCTAGCTCGCTGTTCCAAGTGGCCACTAGACTACTCACCCTTCCCTCAGGATGAGGGTCTGTCCCCCGCAGCAGCCTTCCTTCTGGCTCTGCCCTCTGGGAAGAAGAACAGCTTTTCCTGCTGCTCCAGTTCTTTTAATTCCAAGCCCTCCTCTTTTCCTACTGGTCCATTTTGGCTCCAAAACCTCTCAGGGGCTTCTGGGAGTTGTAGGCCCAGCCTCACCTACTGCTAGCCAGGCTCCCTGGGCCTAGTAGGCCTCTGGTGGCACAGCCCAGATCATGACACAGCCCATTGGCAGTGCAGAGGTCTCGAGACCAGGGGTCCCCAACAGGCAACCTGCCAAACCCCTTTTCAGGCACCTGCCGAGTGTTTTCAGAAAGGGGGGGCGGCAGGTGGAGGTTGACTGGCAGTGCAGATTATTTAAAAATGCAGTTTTTTAGCCTCCGACTCACGCATTTTTCTCTTTGCTCTGGAAGGAGGGCTCCAGAGCAAACCAATAGATGCAGCAGCCAAATGGCCCGCTCACAACTTGAATGCCAGGAGCTCGCAAAGTAGGATTTTTGCTCACAAGACTCCACAGCTTAGAGGGAGCACTGCTTCCCACCCCCCACTCTTTCTGCCATAGGGCTAAACAGAGTTGACCCGAAACCTTTGGCCGTGCCATGTGAGGAGGAAATGGTGCTCTGGTCTCTTTGGCGACTTGGGCGAGGAGTCTGTAGCTGCTCCTTACAAACGGGACGCTGCCTTGAAAATATTGCTGCCCTCTCCCTGCTTCTGGGTCGCTTGGGAGCAGTGTTCCCTCTAAGCTGAGCTCGTGTGAGCTAGCTCATAGTTGTTTAGCCTCTGGCTCACACATTTTTGCCTTCGCTCAGGAAGGAGGGCTCCAGAGCAAACTGATCTACGCACCAGCCAAACGGCTCGCTCACCACTTTAGTGCCCGTAGCTCACAAAGCAGGATTTTTGCTCACAAGACTCCACAGCTTAGAAGAAGAAGAGGAGATTGGATGTATAGCCCACCCTTCACTACCCAAAGGTGTCTCAGAGCGGCTGACAAACTCCTTTCCCTTCCCCTCCCCACCACAGGCACCCTGTGAGGTCGGTGGGGCTGAGAGAGCTCTGACAGAAACTGCTCTTTTTCAAGAACAGCTCTTGTCAGAACTACGGCTTGCCCAAGGTCATCCAGCAGCTGCAAGTGGAGGAGTGGGGAATCAAACCCGGTTCTCCCAGATTACAGTCCGCGCACTTAGCCACTACACCAAACTGGAGCACT